ATTTGGATTTGAAGTCCCTGTGATATATCTGTGGATCATTCATATAAACATGCCCATGAAGACAGTTCCACACGAGGGTCAGGGGTAGAGCCAAGCTGGAGAGGGTGGCATGGTGACCAACGAGAGGTGATATAATCAAGGTGGGTGTGCAGCGTGAGAGCAGATAAGGGCTCAGAGCTCTGAGGAAAGTTGGGTTTAGAGGCAGGAGGAACACAGGGAGATGGAGCAGTGTCTTTGCTGAAGAAAATCAGGAACTGAAGCATTAAGGAGCCAAGTGGTAGTTCAGGGAAGGGAAGGGCAGGCAAGACTCATATTGTAGTCACTTTCTCCAACAGAACACAAGCTCTATGATGGCCAAGACTTTTCTCCTGGACTGTTCACTGGTGCAAGGCAGGTGCTTAATTAATACTTGTTGGTGCATGAAATAATAGGTGACTCTGGTGAGATCAGTGGTGAGGGGGTCGGAGACAAGTCACTGGAAGATCCTGAGTTTCCGTCTCTAACAGCCAGACAATTTGCCCCAGGGATACGTCTGACTTCTCAGATTACCTGTTCTAACTGAAAATGTGTTGGTCAACACATGTGAGCATAATTGATCTAAATATGAAAATTATGCAAATGGAACATCAGAGTTCTCAATGAGCCTTTCTCTTAAAAATCTATATATAAAGGCTTAAGTGATCATTACGATGGAATAGAGCTGCCCCAGCCCACAGGTCCCGATGGCTGATGGGGCCTGCCAGCCAAACTCCTGGTTACTCCCCAGGCTGGCAAGCCCCAATTGCCCAATTGGAGCTGGGCCCCTGGGCTGGGATAAGGAACTGGGGGTGGGTGGTGGCAGATGTGGCCTCTTTCCCAGAGGGACTGACCTCCTTTGGGCTGGCGACCAACCTCCTGGATATCTCCCCTGTCTCTCACCCTGCTGGCAAGCCCCGATTGGTCCACCACCTGCCTGCTACGGTGGCAGTTGGCCCCTCCCACCAGCCATCAGGCTCCTCCCTCCAGCTGGCAGGTCCTGATAGCCTGATTGGGGCTGGGCCCTGTGCTGAAGGGAAGGAGGAGGTGGGGAGGTAGGGAGGCAGAAAGGTGGGGAGGTGGAGAGGTGAGGAACTGATCGGCCCTGATCATCAGCCAGGCCTAGGGACCCTACCCTTGCATGAAATTTCATGCACCAGACCTCCAGTAAAAATTTAAAATTTTATGCGTAGCTCTTACACCAATTCTTAGCTCCTGATCCCATTGCCTCTGATGACTTGTCCTGTGCATGATAACGCCACCCCTACTTGGTGGGTTAGGTATCATAACCATATACTATTAGCTACTAAGTAAAACCCCTATGATGACATAAGAAGCTCCAGATATATAACATACAGGACATTTGCACAGGAGCCAGGAGTGCCTGGTTCTGGTCCCAGCTTTGTTACTCCCTAACTTGGGGCCTCCATTTCTTTGCAACTCTAAAAGAACAGAAATCCACAGATCAGTGGGGACAGGTGGACCTTGAGGCTGTTTTCCACACAAACGTGGGCTCCAGAGTTGCTTTTTTTTTTTTTTTTTATCAAGTCACGCCCCTCCTGTGGGCTTTGGCCTGAACATGCTGAGAAGACAGATCTCCCTGTCCTGGGTGGGACCCCAGACTCCTCCAGCAGTGTTTGTACTTACTTTTAAAAGTATATATATTTTTTACTGATTTCAGAGAGGAAGGGAGAGGTAGAGAGAGAGATAGAAACATCAATGGTGAGAGAGAATCATTGATCGGCTGCCTCTAGCACACTCCCTACTGAACTTGAACTCGAAACCCTAGGCATGTGCCCTGATGGGATTGAACCACGCATGACCTCCTGGTTCATAGGTTAACACTCAACCATTGAGCCATGCCAGCCGGCAGAACTTACACTTTTAAAGCTCTTATATGTATGCATTACTTTGATTAAAAACAAAACTATTAAAAAGCAAATTATGTTTTTTTTAAAAAAGATAGTAACAAGCAATAGTGAAGATACAGAGAAACTGGCACCCTCATACATTATTAATGGGAATGTGAAATTATGCAGTTATTCTGGAATATAGCTTGGCAGTTCCTTAAAACGTTGATCATAGATTTATAAAGGGACCCAACAATTCCACTCCTCGGTATTTATCCAGAGAAATGAAAACATATTTACACAAACACTGTGCAGAATTTTATGTGTAGCTCCATAGCAGTATTGTTCATAATAGTTTCAAACTGGAAACAACCCAAAATATCCATTAACGAATGGCAGGATGAACAAAATGTGCCATATCCATGGAGTGGGATACTGTTCTGTAGTAAAAGAGAATAAAATGCTGATGCTACAATACAATGAGCCTGGAAAACATTTGGTCGAGTGAAAAAAAGCCAGACACAATGCGTGATTCCATTAATATGAAATGTCCAGTAAAGGAAAATTTATACAGACAGAAAGTAGACTAATGGTTGCCAGGAACTGGGAGTAGGAATGGGAAATGACAGCTAAATAATATGAAATTTCTTCCTGGGGTGATAGAAATGTTCTAAAATTTGAACATGGTGATGATTGCGCAACTCTGTAAATACATTAGAAACCACTGAATTGTACACTTAAAGTGGGTGAATTTTTTTGCATGTTAAATTATACCTCAATAAAACTGTTTTTAAAAACGTTTTTTTAAAAAAGCATATGATGAAGTCTATTTTAAAAAGAGAACTTGCAGCCGGGACCGGTTTGGCTCAGTGGATAGAGCGTCAGCCTGCGGACTGAAGGGTCCCGGGTTCGATTCCAGTCAAGGGCATGTACCTTGGTTATGGGCACATCCCCAGTAGGGGGTGTGCAAGAGGCAGCTGATCGATGATTCTCTCTCATCGATGTTTCTAACTCTCTATCCCTCTCTCTTCTTCTCTGTGAAAAATCAATAAAATATATTTAAAAAAAAAAAAAGAGAGAGAGAGAGAACTTGCAGACTATGAGTTATGTGCTTTAATGTGATTATTATAACAACCCTAAAAGGTTGGTATTGCTAGCCCCTTTTTACAGATAAGGAACCTGAGTCTCAAAGTAGCTAAGCAACTTGTACAATTAGCAAACACAGCAAAGTTAAAATGTGTGAGCCTGAGCCCTCACTGGGGAGTCCATGCCTTTCTCCCATTTGTGACTGGCTGGGCCCTGAAGCACCATGGGTAGATGACACCCTTCATCCTCAATTCCACACAGCTAGCAACCTAGTCGCCACATTTGTGTAGAGTGATGTCAGGTCAATGGGGGACCTTTGAGTAGGCCACGACTTCCTCTCTCTAGAACCAGCATCGTGATAATGTGACAGAAACACATACTTGCTCTTAATCTCCATTCCTGGGTCATAGCTCCCCAAACACTTGGAATTTTCTAAGTGATAAGAGCAACGGGAGCACCTTTTATTATAATAGTTTGTTGTCATCAGTTCTTGAAACAGCTCCAGAGCAAAAAAAAAAAAAAAAAGGTGAAAGGAGTGTATTATTTACAACAAACCCCTTTCAACCACACCTGCATTTATGAGAACGAAGTAACTTTTGGAAAGTCCCTAAGGATGAGGGCTGGTTGCCAGGGAAACCAACCATAGTTAAGAGGATTAGGACTTTCGGTTCCAGGGAGGGGAGAGAGGCTGGAGGTTGAACCATTCACCAATGGCCAATGGTTTAGTCAATCATGTCTATGTAAGGAAGGCTCCATAAAAACCAAAGGACAGAGACCGTCTGAAGTGGTGAACACAGGGAGGTCTGGAGGATGGCATGCTCAGAGATCGTGGGAGCTCTGTGCCCTTTCCTATGCCTTGTCCTGTGTGTCTCCTCCATCTGGCTGTTCCTGAGTTAAATCCCTTTAAAATAGACTAGTAATCTGGTGAATAAAACGTTTTCCCGAGTGCTAAGAGCTGCTCTAGTAAATTAATCTATCCAAGAGTGGGTCCTGGGAACCTCCGATTGACAGCCAGTTGGTCAGAAGCCTGGGCTTGCCACTGGCGAGTGAAGGGGTGAGGCCTGATGCTACCTCCTGGCAGACAGTGCCAGCATTGAGCTAACTGCCTGGAAGTGCTGCTAAAAAAGCACACAGTGGAAGCATGAGACACAGAGACTAGAGATGAATCACTAAAAATGTGAGCCGGCCAATCTTTGCCACACGAGGCCAGAAGTTAGCAGGCGTTACTATTTGAAAATGAAACTTTGCCTCTCTCCATAGCTCCCCCGGGTTGGCCTAGAGGGTGGGCCCTGGAGCCATACTCCGTGGGTACAAGTTGCAGTTCTGCCACTTAGCAGCTGAGGGACCCTGGGCAGGTTACTTAAATCCCTCTGTGCCTCAGTTTCCTCTAAAGGGGAAATGAAAAGAGAACTCTCCCAGAGGACTGTAAAGTGCTTATCTTGTCTGTGTATTTAAACCTGCCGTTTAACTGTGCAGAACCTGTCTCTGCTCAACTTTGCAACAAAACTGTCCGTGGGCCCATTAGGTTCTCTTGTCTACCCGGGTGGTATTGAGGGATAAGCAATGTCCTCCAACACCTACCACACACTCTCAATGACTCATGAAATCAAAGCCCAAAGAGGCTGTTGTGGTCATCTGGTCCAAGCCTGTCATTGTACAGATGGGGATGAGGTTCTGCATAGTAGAGGGTCCACCTCCCCAGGAGGCCTATCTAATGTGATTATCAAATGCCCTACCCTACAAGCTTCTGTGTCCGGACTTCTCCAGAGAGCCCTCCTGTCCTTGTGGCTGAAGAAGCAGGTGAGAAAAAAAGCCATGTTGTGACTTTAAAGACTGTCAAATCTAATTACAAGTTACTCCATTTGAAAGGTCACAATGAAAGCATTTTCAACCCTCCTTCCTTCTGTCCAAACCCCCATCACTGGGGGGGAGGGGAGGGAGCCAATTCTTTGAAAGCTGCGAGCCCAACAGGACAGTTTCGAGGACAAATGGTTAAGAGGTAAGTTTTTCCCCAAGGATGGCTAAAGCATTTTCCTCCCCTCCTGTTACCTTGGTAACTGCTACCTTGGCGCCCTTGTTGATGAGCTGAACCACATTCTCCGCTTGGCCTTTGTACGCGGCTATGAGAAGGCGTTCTGAAAGCGCAGCGACAGCATCCTGCTGGCTCATGAATTAGGAGAGAAAGAGGTTTCCAGATAGCGGTAGACGTGTCCCTTCAGCTCCACACGACGTCACTGGCCCGGGACGGCACCCGCGGGGACAGATGCTCCCGATCATTGGAAGGTGCCTCTCTTACTATGCCATCTTCAGGACCTACAGGTTACAAAACAAAGCTGCCATCAGTGCCATGCAGCACACTGGACGGGCCACAAGTCTTCTCTCTGATTTTAGGGCCTGTGCTGGTTGCTCGTGGCAAGGAAGGGGAGCTGGGGGAGAGAGGACAGCAAGAATACTCGGCACAGCAAAGCGGACCTTAGAAGTGTCCCCTTCCCTCCTTTCTACCCTCGCAGGGGACTCTGGATTCATCAGAGGACGATGGCCAGGATTCTGAGGTCTGCTCTGCATTTCTGTGAGAATCCCCTACACCTCACCTAGTTTCCAGACCCACCTTGGGCAGGTAACTGTGCAATGTAAGATCATAAAGGGCTTTCTGGGCCATGGCTATCATGCCAATTCCCCTGGCAGGTTAGGTTCCCATGGAGCACACCACAGAGCCCCTAAGGAGTAGGATTTCCCCCAAAGCGTATACTGTCATTCTCTTTATTATTTTCTCACTGCAAATGGTGCAGTTTCCTGAGTTCTGAACAGATGGAGAGCTGAGCACAGGCCCGGGCCGTCTCCCGGGTCCAAGTGCTGCTGGAACAACCTGCCTCAGAAACAACAGGGACACTAGACACACTGACAGGGCACTGCCCACTGTGCTGGGAGTGGCTTCCCAGCTTAACCAGGAGGAAATGAATGGCCTACGAAAACCACCACTAGCCCACTGAGAGCAGAGGTCTGGAGGCATTTACTAGTAGTAAACTTAAGCTCTTCTTTCCACCAAATGGCCGAGTGAATAGAAAGGTTAAAGATGGACTCCTCCTTGTACCCCTGGGCCACCACGACACTAAACCGAAGGCAGTGGTGATGATTTCAAAGGCAAAGGGTTCTTCTCCACAAGAAGAAATGCTTCAGGATCTGATCCACAGCAAGGACGGCAAGGAAGTGAGGGCTTCTTTCAGTTTTAAAACCTACTTATTAAAAGTACCGATATTTGCAAAAGGAAAGAAAAGGGACACCACCCATTCTTCATCCCAGGCAGCACAGACATCTTGTACAGTTGCTTCCAGGCAAATCCAATGCTCCTTTCAAGCTCTAAAGATTAAGGAATTGGCCATGATGTGACTGGAAAAGGTCTGGACTGTACCACGCTGTGCCTCCCGTTCACGGTGACATCCGGGCAGCCCATCTCCCCAACCACTCTGGGAGGCTGGGGTTGAAGGCTTAGACATAAGACAGACATAACCGCAGGACTGCGGTGGGAATGAAAGATGATATTTTATTATGTGACTGTATTGGCCAAATGTGAATATTATAACTTCAGAAAGAAGTCCAATCTCTCCCCAACTTGTGAATTATCAAATTTCACCTCGTCATCCAAAATACCCAAAATGCATGTGAAAACTCGAAAGGAAACAAAGAGAATGAACCTTCACAAATCCTGCTCTGGTCACCAGGCACAAGACGCCTGGACAAGGGTATGCACCGAGGCACAGACTCCACCATTAGCCAGAGTCAGAGACCCTGGAATCTGTCAGAAGTGTTTGTTCATTGAATGAGTCAGTGAAAGAATAAAGTTGAGACTCAAAAGAGAGAGAAATGAGCTAGAAATACTTTTGGAAATTCCCAGGATTGAAGGGAAAGACAGTAGCTTGGGCTTTATGTTTGCCAGACTGCATCACTGGAAGTGATTTGTTTTTGTAAACATAGGACACATCGCCTCTCTTTATTCCGGGAATCTGTGGTACCTTCAAAGCAATTCTACTGAGCTTCTACTCTGCTTGCCCCAACACCAAAAAAGCTCTCCAGGCCCAAATGGCAGGCAGATATACAATATTAGTTATGGCTTCTTGAATGATTTCCCTCCCACAACCACATTCTTCTCCATCTACTCAATTGTTATTTCTGTGCACTGGACCTAAACCATCACCTCCCTCCAGCCCCCCTGCTTCCGCCCTCACTCCCATTCCCAAACCTCTCTTGCAATGGGCCTGCAAATGTCTCATATCCTGGTTCATACAAATATCATCACCACTAAAAGTTTACTCATTCCACTCCATAACTTGGCTCCTGGGGATAGAGCTTGCTGCAACCTCAGTGTATGCCATCAGCTAAGGTCACGAGCTACAGACCAGAAGTGCTGCCTGGTCTCCCTAGCAACAGATGCACGGGGTCAACACTGCCAGCTACTGCCTCCCACCCTCCTGTCCCATGCAATAAATTCAGCCTCTCAGGCACCCAGAGGGAAGCACAGTTTTTGCCCTGGTTGCAAGCTACTGAGACAACCCTGCTTACATAATTACCGTTGGTAAACAGCCCTTTGCAAATCCAGCGCACATTATAATTTTTTTTTTGAGACAGAAAAACACGATATTTGTGAGAAAATCTTGGCCAAGCAGAAATGTGGTAATTTTGCTTTCAGTGGCAGCTCCTAAATATTGAAATGTTCCCATTCTTCATCCCACCCAAACCCTCCCCCAGCCAGACTCACCGAGGCACAGGGCAGCCTCCAGGATAGGTCACTATTTTGGATACAGAAAACTGCCTGCAAAATCGGGAACAGAGTCCCAGGTTTTCAGTTCCTGGTCTGTTGCTAGCACCGTCCCCATGTACGTGGGTATCTCAAGTTCATTCTCAAATCCAGCAATAGCCTTATCCCTAGGGCCTCCAGCATTCACTTGCACTTGCATTTGCAGGGTGGGTGGGTGGGGAGAAATGAAAGTGGCTGAGACTTCTTTTCTACTTCCTTTCTGTTTCCTCCTCTAACTCCAGCTGAGGATGGGGGTGCAGGCCCAGCCCAGCTTCCTCCCCACTTCTCTCATGATCACCGCCCTGCAGAACAATGATCCTCACCCTTTAGAAGTGAGGACCTACTCAGCTTCTCATTGGATACCCTGAAGTGACAAATCAGGCCAGGCAGAGGCAGGCAGTGGGACAGGGAATAAAGGGGAACAAAAGGCCCCGGACAATGAGCGGGGAGGGGAGGGGCAGCATGGAGTGGTGACCAGTCTATAATCAACTAGTTAAACTTCCCTGCCAACCTGTTGGGTACCCAGGCTGTAGCAGCCCCGTTCCCTCCCTAGATCTGAGCCTCCTCTTCCAAGGGAATCAGCTATCATTCAAGACGCTTCCCACTGCCGGCAGTGAGGAATTTTTTTCCCTGCTCCACTCTGTCAATCACATGTCTCTTTGTCACGATGCTCATTTTCAGTGTTCTGGAGGAAAACCTTAATGGCAGCATGCTGCCAGTTCTTTAAGCAGAGATCAAACAGATGCATGATCATAAATATGCAATGAGCTTCCTGAGCCCAGAAAGGGACTTCGCTTCCCATAAAGATCGCCCTTCTTCCTCTCAGCCCACTGCCCTGTTTTCACTGCTCTCCAGTTTGCGGATTCTTTTGTCTCCCATTACAAATGCCGGAGGGCCCCACAGCTGTTTGATCTGTGATGCGATCTGTTTTCTTTTTATAGAAAGAAAAGGTCTGGGAGGTTTGCTTTTGCTGTTTTCTTGAGGATTTACAACAGAGTCTCCTGTTCCCAATATCCCAAAGCCACTGCATTCAGGCAAAATATAGGAGAAGAGACCTGCAAACTAAAGTCCCAGGCAAGCATTATGGACAACCTCCCCAGAGACGATCCACAGGCAGCCGGGCACTGGGCACCGGGCACCGGGCATGCCATCAGTTACAAGAACTCACTTTGCTCCTGCTGCTCCAAACCCCTCATTAAAGAGATTGTACTCACATCCGGGGGTCTGTCCTCCCGCTCCACTGCGTGCTCTGTGGCTGGATAACTGCAGTCACTTCTTTCCCGCTGAGATCATTAGCTTCCTAGGGCTGTCAGGCCCAGCGGGTCTGCAGTGATTTACCTTACAGTGCCTGCTGCCTTTCCCCTTGAGCTTCCTCTGCCAACACTGGCCAGCCAAGGCGCCTCTGAGAGCTTATTAAGACACCCGTTTAGCTTGCAATGCTTTGTGGCTTCCTGGTCTGCTCGGTAACAGCTTCCAAAGTATTTTGGGTCTTTAGATTCTGTGGGAGAGCTCCCTCCTGCAGGCAGAGGACCTGTAACACTGCCCTGATGGGAGAGTCCGGCAAGAATTCTCACACGGGCAGGCTTGTGAATGACGCTCGGACAAGGACGTGTGCATCCTTTCAGCAGCAATGCTGGGAGGAGAGATGGATATGCGTGTTGCAAAGGAAGGGAGGAGGCAGCAAGGTTCAAAATTTGTAACGAACTGCCTTTATGGTCACAGGAAAAGGCTCACGTTGTGGGAAGAGCAGCGACCCAGACGCTCCACCTCCTCATGCAGAGTCCCCCCCCGCACAGCGTCCCCGCACAGCGACTGCAGCAGCACAGACACCGGGATGGCTGAGCTGCCATTCCTGACGTTTGTAAACAAACAGTTTGTCTCTACACAAATCCTCCTACGCAACAGAGTCTCTGAAGAGAAGGGGGAAGGGAGAATAAAAGGGAGCGAGTCTGTTTCAGGTCCGGTCAATGACCGTAAACATCACAGGTGTGTCCTCCAGCCCACTTGTTGAAACAGCAGAAAACAACTTTCTAACTGGAGCCTTCAGAGAAAGAAGAGGGCTTTCATTGTGAAGGAAGCCAGGGTCACCACTCTTGTCCTCATTTCGAAAGCCAGAATGGTTGGTCCTGGAGATGGACAATAACTCTGTCAACACAAACCTTCTGAGCCCCCTCTCTGCCCAAAGCCTTGCCCCATTCCGCTGAGGGTGGTAGCTCCTGAGGGGGACGGTCTGGGATTCTGCGTTGGCCATTATTTGGCTTGTTTCCAGGGCAGGAGACAAGCCAGGGACTCTGGCCAGGGTGCTGCAGAGAGATGGAATTCCACCGGGAGACAGAGAGTCAGAAGAATGATCAGCTAGTTTATCCAAGAGTGGTCA